TTTGAAAGGTGTCGGGAATATGTTGTTTAAAAAGATGGCATAAGTCTTCTAATCACTGATTTTGTTTTGTCTTTCAATTCTTGTCTCCAAAATGTCTGCCTAAGACAGTGCTTCCCCATGTTGATGTTCTTCAGGTAAATACATATTGAAATTTAATGACAATCTATTGTCATGCCATGTAGCACAACATTATACATTTATGCTGGAAAAAGACCATTTATTAGGGCTTTCATATGCTAGCTTTATACTATTAGGATATGGCTGATATTCTTAAAATGAACCCTCTATTCCTATGCCACAATCTGTGAGTCATCTTGTATGATAGTAATGTGGCTTCAGGTAGTTTTTTCAGTTTGGAAAACAGCATCAAGGGTATGGCATGCTCAGCAGGCAGGGATTGTTTGGGTTTTGGCACTAATGATGTAACATGAAAAAAACGGAGAACAAAAAGGAGTAATGTAGCTAAAGGAGACGACTGAGCTGGCCAGACCAGGCACGAATGAGCTATTTCCTAAATAATATTCTTTCATGTCTGATGGACTGTAATAGCTTTCTGTTTTTAGCTCTGTTGCTTTTGCTTCTTTTTCCATTTCCACATCTCTTTCACATTACTTTGACTTATGTCTGGCCTAAGGTAAGAGCTGATCTACACAAACGGCATATTCCTCACAAATCTTCCAGTGGGCAGGGTTGCTTGCTATACAGCGGTCCTGCCCCCCTTCTTTTCCCATTGCCACGCTGGATGTTACCTTCCCCCGATCTCCACTCCCGTCGTCTGTTTGCGTGGCTAAAAGCTAAACTGCATTTGCAAGATGATCTGACTTCAGAAAAAATCCCTTAAAACGGCAATAACCAGACCACTTGCCTATCGAGATGGAGCACTACAGGACTCCTCGGAGCAAGGTTACTGCTTCCTCGCCGCTTTGGCAGAAAACCTTCTCTTCCGGTGCGAGTCTTCAAACGTTCCTGCCAGCTGTGAAACAATTCCTCCCTCTGCTCTGCTCAGCCTCGCACTGCTTGGGAAACAGCTTTCCTTCAGCTCTCCGGGTGTAGTTATACAAAGGGGGTTTTTTCCAGTGGGAAAGCCAGTTTAAATCGGCCGGTTTCCTGCCTGCTCTGCCCTCTTGTTCTTGCTCCCTCATCGGGGTTCGCTGTCCCCTGGACTGTGCGAGCGCAGCTGTTTGTGGGTTGTGATGTAACTTGGCTCAGTGGAACACGTCTGAGTTTTTCTGTACGTGTGCATGTAGCGCGCAAGTAGCCTTAAAAAAAAAAAGGGGGGGGGAGAAAAAACAAAAACCCCCCAACCTGGATCATTTCAGTCATTTGATTTATAATGTGGCCCACAAAGAGTCGAATTAGCACAGCTGAGGAGGCAGGGAACAGTGGCTCAGAGGTGGGAACGAACGCCTGGGCTGGGGGGAGGGCGCAGGAAACTCTTAAGCCAGCTTTGTTAGGAGAGAGAACTACTGTTACTGTACAAACCCATGCCGAGCACCTAAACTAAACTGCTGGAATAGAAAACTGGAATAGACTGCAGAGCAGTCAGGCTCTTGAATTGCTGGAGATAAGGCTTTATCTTTCGGAAGAAAAGGGGTAGTCTCTTAATAAGCTCTTTCCCCTAGACGTCTGCTATTCATTTGAGACACCGAAATCGCAGGCTGTTTAGCTATTCAGAATATGATCGTGTGAATCCTGCTGGGCTTATGAAGCATGTTGGTCTTTCAGTGCTGTTAAAAACGCTAATAATAACTGGTTCATGCCTCGGGCCTTGGGTGCTACTGTCAATTAGCGTCAGAACAGAGATTTATTTAAACAAATTATTTCTATATACGCTTCTTTCCCTTACGGTTTGTAAAGTAGAGCTGCGTGGCCAAGTGGACCTGATTTCAGTGACACCTGCCTGCATGTGCAGACGAACTTGGGGCACAGAAAGAAAACGCCATCCTTGCCTTCATAGTTCTTCATATTCTTAAATTAACGGAGCTGTCCCAGCTGCAGAGACTACACACAGGATTTAAAACATTTCTCTGATCCTCTAGCCATTTAAATGTCATGTCTGAGCTACAGAAAAAAAAACAAACTAATACCTCCCAACAGGAGTAGTTTTAGACAGTGATGAAAAAGCCATGCGTAATCCTCTACCTCCCCCTCTACCTTGGTGCCAAGTTCGCAGTACTGAGATTTAAGTTGTCCTCACTGGTCACCCAACTCACCAGCCATTGCACTTGTCACTGGGAATTTCTCACGTGTATTGTTGCAGGCTCATAGCAAAGCCAAGCATTGCTGAATTTGATTATGTTTGTTTTATATTTTAAGTCTTTCTCTGAAGCCAGGAGAGAGAACTGACTTATAATTTAACTATTTTATGTTGGGGAAGCCTAGTGTAACTTGGATTAATTGAAGTGTTGGAGAAGGGGGAAGGACTCTAATGACTCACCCTCATGAAGAAGAAAACAGAAGAATGTCATTACTATGGTGGTGCTTTTAATAGCATTTTTAGCATTTTCTTCACAAAATTTCAGTATTTATGCGTGGAGTACAGAACAAATTTAATGGAAACATTTAAACTAATCTCATAGTCTAGAAATTTTAAAAAATCCTTTTTAGAATTGTTCCATGCAATATTAGGCCTTCTGTTCTAATGATTTAAGGAGCAGAATAAAAATAAGTATTTAAATTTCTCCCCTTGTTAAAACCAGTTGGGATAATTTAACTATGCTTACTTAAATGTAAGAAATATCTTAAATATGTGTTTTAAATAATCATAATCCCGTTATCATGACTGCATTTTTTCTCCTATTATTCTTTCTAAATTCACATTCCCCTTGACTGAAAGAAACCATAATTTATCTGAAGAATTCTGAGGAATTTCTTTCAAAATGGCTATCATCTGCTGTGTTCTCAGAAGGATTGATGCCACAAGCCACCTGCAATTGGTGGGCAGTTGTTCCTAGTCTCAGTGGAATGGAATAGGTGCTCTGCTTTTATCAGGTTTTTTGAAGGCTATTTTAACAGTTTCAGCAAGAGCAGCCAGAGCTGGATTTTGAAAGGGGTCATTTTTCATAACAAATTCCAAATGGTGAAAAATAAGATCAAGGTAACAAATGCTTCTCTTCAAGGTTGATCATTGCATTAGATTAGCTTAACTAAGGAGGCTTAGAAGATAATGAGGCAAGGGGAAGTAGATATGAAAAATACAGAATTAGTCAGAAGGAAAGGAGAATTTGGAAACATTTATTAAGGGGAATGAAGTTAGGGTTAATCTCACATTTTAAAAATTCTTTCACCTGGTTTAAAAATACCACTACTTTATTGAACTCTTCATATGCCCCTGAGGGTTTCTGAGGGTACTTTGCATCTTTAAACTTTGTTCTACAACCTAATGAGTAGGTAACTGTTTGAATCCAAAGCTGGTATTTTTCTGCAATAAAGCCTGAGGCTTGAATGCAAGGAGAATGTAAATATACCAGTCAACAAATTTATGCTCTGTATACTGGTGTGCAAAACAGAACATGTTAAGGAAATAAGGTTGTGGGAAGAAACTGATCTATAGCAGGTTCACTTACTACAGCCAAACAAAGCAGATGATAAATTAACTAGACCATGACTTTCTCTGTACTCTGTCATTCTCTAGAAAAGGATTATTTTTTTGCCCTTATGATCAAGCAGGAGGAACATTTTTTAAGATGATCAGAATTAACAGTTAGGTGCTCCTTTTTAAGAAAGGTGAATTAAAAGGGGTCTACATAAGACACTGTTGGCTAAATTATATTTCCAGGCAAATGGGTTTAGGTGTCTTTTCAGTAAGCAGAGCCGGAGGCAGAATTGTGATCCTAAAAGCCCAGTGGGCATGCATATGGGATATGGAAACATGAGTTTAAATATCAATCTAATTAATATTTAAATAGTTTATACAAAAGGGAACAGTTTCAATAGAAGAGAATATCTAAGACTACTCTATACTTTATGAGTTGGAAAATTGATAATGGTTATGTTGGTTCAAGTCCTTACTCTGAATTAATCAGTGTATTTCAAAGCCACATCTTGCTATTCCCATGGAGTATCCAAGGCAGTGCTCTACTGTACAGTGATTCTGTAAATGGTGCCCAGCTCCTCTTGGGTGAATTCAGGCACAGACAAGATTGGCATTTGAGATTTTTTTTTTAATTGCAAAAACTACTTACTGAACTCGATTTAGTTCATGGATATTTTTGGAATGAGTGAATCCATCTTTTCTTAGAAGATTCCCATAGTGAGTTACTAACCAGGCCTAGCTAAGAGAGAGACAAAACAGATGAGGTGTGCCAAGGAGTCTGACCGTGCCAGAGAAAAGTGATTTAATGCTGATAATTTGTATTGTACATCCATTAAGTTCCCATCTAATTTCTCATCTAACGTTCAACGTGAAACATTTCATATTCATTTAAGCGAGGAAAGAATGAAAGGTCCGAGGAAAACCAGCTGAAAAATCAGGTTGATACCGACAATACGCTGGAGAGATTTTAGAGTAGAACAGGTTACAATAAACAAACCGACACCTCGGGAGTTAATAAAGGACAGAAAATCGAGACACGATTTGGAGCGCGGGGTCCCCGCAGCCCCACGGGCACCGGGCTTGCACGGGTGCCGCTCGGTGCCCGGCGCTCTCCGCCCGCAGGGGGCACCGGGCCGGGCCGGGCCTGGCTCGGCTCTCCCGATCCGTCCCGGCCCTCCCGACGTTCCCCACAGGCTCTCCCGGCGGGAAGGGCGCGGGGAGGGGAAGGGCCGGCAGGCGGCGCGGCGCGCGGGGGGAGGGGCGGGGCGTCCGCGCGCAGAGGGCTCGTGCCCGGGGCGCCCTTCCCCCTCCCCCCGCGGCCCCTCCACTGCGCGAGCGCCGGCGGTTGCCGGGCTGCGTGACGTCACGACCGGCGGAGGCGGCGATTGGCTGCGCGGGGAGCGCCCTCCCCCCCCCGCGGAGCCGCCGCTGCCGGGGCCGGGCCGGGCCTGGCGCGTCCCCTCAGTGCGGAGCGGCCGCCGCGGCGAGCGCGGCCTGCGCGCAGCGTCCTGGGCAAGTCCCTGCTCCGGCACCGCTCCGGTGCCGACACCGCCGGCAGCATCATGTCCCGCCCGCGGCCCGCGCCGCGCCCGCGGCTGCTGCCGCTCCTGGCGCTGCTGGCGCTGCTAGCGCCCCGCGCCCGCGCCTGGGACAGCGGCGACCTGGAGCTCTTCGACCTGGTGGAAGAGGTGCCGCGGAACTTCTACGACTTTCTGGGGGTTCAGCAGGTGAGCGAGGGACCGAGCCCGCCCCCCGCAGCCCCCTGCCCTGGCCCGTTCCGCGGCTCCTCCCGGTCGGCACCGCCGCAATCCCCGGCGCGGCTGCCCGGCTCCCCCTGAGCCCCGGGTGCGCCGCCGGCCCCTCGCCTGCTCGCCTGGCGCTGTCACCCGCACCCTGCCCAGGGCCCCCAGCCCCGGCTCCCGAGGCTCGGGGCAGCGTTTCTGTCCCTCCCCAGTCTCTTCCCTCCCACCGCGGGGGCTCTGCTCTCTTTCGGGTACTGCTCTGTTTCTTATCCTTCTGGCCCCACCATAAATCAGCGCTCCCTCTCCAGCTGTACCTTTGTGTGTTCTACTGCCTGTTGCTCTTCTGAATATATCTCTTTTTCTCTAAATGCGTCTACAGACAGACAGAAGTAGCTTTTGGGCTTCTTCCACTTCCCATACATATTGTCAGTATGGCTGTTTTTCACTTTTCCCTCATTCCGTATAGCTGCTGGTTTCTTATCTTCTTCAGATTGTGCATTGCCAGGTGATGTGGCTCATGTTTTCTCTCACGGGTGTCAATGTGGTAGACTGTGATCCTTTGCTATGGTAGTGGCTTGTAGATTGTTACATTTATTTACTTGCCGTGTATCTTGGTTATTGTGCATGGTTTTCACCTCTCTTTGATAAGTAACACCTGAGATTATCTTAAACTATTTATTACATATCTTCGGTTAATTTTCATGTCAGTGTAGTCAAGACAGGAACTCCTGTTAGAAACATTTTATCCCGTGGTTCTTGTGTATATTTTAGATGCACTTGCTAGTTTTGCTGACACTTGGCATGCTTTACTTGTATCACTTGTCCTGGCTCCTGCATGATGCCTTTCCTTCTCTCTAGAAGGTCTCATTGTGTGACCTTGCTTAATATCTCCTCCTGCATCTTAATTTTTTTTACTCTTTATTCCAGTCAGTGTTCCTCTCCTCAATAATGAAATATACCATTTTCTATAATCTGTTACTTCACCCAGAGTCCCCAAAAGACATCTTGTTCATTGTCTCCTAGTACATTCTGTACGTCTAGTACATTCTCTTCAGTGCTACATTCTGGTGAGTGATCCTTCTATTTGAATTCCTTCCCTGACAACCTTGAAGTTTATTTTAATGTAGTTCTTTTAGTTTTTGAGAATAATGGCTGTATTTTCAGGTGCTTTTTATTAGGGCCGTGTCTATAGAGAGAGGGAAGGTGTCTGCAATATCTAAGGGTCTGGTTTTGGAAACTACTGGCTGTGGTTGTTAATGATAGTTGAGGGATCCTGACTCGGTTTCATCTCTTTCTTTCCTTTACTCCTTCTTAAGCACCACTGTTAAATACTATGGAATACTGTATATATCATCATATGTATATATATATATATATATATATCTCTGCAAACATTTATATATATATATATATATATATCTCACAGCAAACAGTGCTACCCAAGTTTCACTTTCACGAGTGTAAAAATCTAGGTGTTAATTTCTCAAAGACAATTTTAGTGTTAGATAATGGAGGGACCCAAAACTTTGTGGGTTCTGGTTAGTGATGTTCAGATGTGGTATGCAACTCTTTGTTAACATCTTCCACAATCCTGTTTTCTAGGGCCAAATCTGTACCTTGTGCTGTATGTTTAGCAAAATATATTAATTTTAGCAAGCAAATATTCTGCTAGTTCACACTTCTACTCCTAATCATAAAGGAGAACTTATATCACTTGAAAAGTGCAAGCAAGAAAAAAGGTGGTGGAAGTCCAACACAAATGAAATAAAGTTTTGTTTGTTAAAAGTATACAGCAGTCACTCATAATGTCATTATAGCCTGGAAGTGTACATAACGTGGGATGCTTTGCACATGCAGTGGAATAGACCTGTGAGTACTGTAATGCAGTACACAGTGTTGAAGCTGAGCTTCAATAGGAATTTGTAAGCATTGGAAGATGCTATATAGGCATAGAGGTTCTTTCACTCTGTATCCTTGTTCCTGCTGCTTGCTTCTCCAGCTATACCTGAAACTTCCAACGAGATCCCGGAGTGGGATTTTGATTTGCAGTGACTCTCTAGACAGCTGCAGCTGTTTTGAGTTACCATGAGAAGGGTGACTGGTCTTGTGATGGGGTTGAGGGAAGTACCCAAATCTCAGATGTGCTCTATCCCGCCTTATGCATCTTAACCGTACGGTTGCGGGCCTTTTACCATAATGTTTCAGTGTACCGTTTGCATGTTTCTTCAGATTTTCTGCCATTTGTTAATATTATGGTTTAATAGAGCTTACTGGTCGTTTTGTGTGTCATTATTGTTTCGGCTGGAATGCGTTTGACTAGAATGCACTTTTTGTAGTTCTAGTGCCAGTGATTTCATTCCCTGTGCTTAGGTGGTTTTCTTGGCATTTTAGTACAAGAGAGACAGTGTGTGTGACAACAGCCTTTGTGGCCATGCCTTTGGACTGTTTAATTATCTTCCATTCATTAAAGCTTGCTTGTCCCATCCCCCACCTGTTCCTATTTCATTCCCTTGTATCATGTCCTCATAATTCCTTCTTCCTTCACGTACTCCTGGGGGAAGGGAGTGCTTCTCCTTTATGCAGTATGTAACTTCTACGTCTGAAGCACGGATGCTCAACTGTGTTTGTTAGCAGAAGTATATCAGGGCTGCCAGATTTTTTCTAAACGTGTCATCTCGCGTTTTGAAAAAAATACAGGGAATGACTCAATGCTTCCTTAAGGCATTAAAGCAGCTTAGGTTTTGATGGGAGAGTTGTGGTGCTGACTGCTTGTTGAACTCATACGCAGTGTCAGAGGCTGATATTGACCTCAACTCACAGTGCAGAAGGCATTGTGGGAAGTCCTGTAGCTCTCAAGCTTGCTTTGATGAAGCCTCTGTCTGATGGATTTTTAACTCAGATTGGAGAGAAATGATGATTTTTGGTTTCATTTCTGCTCTATGGCTGCAACAGTATGGGGTTTGTGTTTTGTCATTTCAAGGGCCTTATGAAAGCCTCCTGGCATTGTCAGGTAACTCATCCAGCTCTGCTAGGGTGTAAGGCTGGAGCTGCTGCAGTATTTTCTGAGATGAATGGCAGAGATAGATGATGATGTAATGGAAGCGATTTTTGCTGTGATTGTGAATGTGGAATGACAAAGGAAGAGTAAGATTGTGACTGTCTTGGCTGTTAAATAACTGACTGTAGTGGTGACTTCAAGGAGGGGTTGGCTGCGGAATCTACAAATACTCACAGAATGGTCAAGGTTGAAAGGGCCCATCTTGTCCAACCCCCAAGTGTTAGGTCTGAGCACCTAGATTAAGAAGTATCTGATTTTGTACAAGGGCACAATCTATCCATTTGTTTTTTTTTCATCTGGCCTAATAGTAACATAGCATAAGAAAAAGTCTTGCATTGTTATGTTGTTACTGTTGCTGTTCTGAATGATGTGGGAATTGCTCTATCTTTCCTTTTTTTGCCGGTTCTTAAATTGGTGATGTGATTAAATTAAAAGGCTCATTTAAAACATTGCTGTTCTCAAGAAGTTTGACCTAGCAGAATGGGAAGATAAGATAACCTTTGGCTTGAGAAAAAGGTTACATTTCCCTATGCTTTTCTTCAGGTGGTTACTGAAGAAAATAGAATCATAAACTCTTGACAGATCAGATGTAATAATCATTTCAGTAATCATTTCAATATAGCCAATTTCAAATCGACAAGGGGATCAGGACCAAATAGTGTTCATCTAAAAACTCAGTTAAAGCAACACAATTAAACCAGAGGCTATGCAGACTCAGTAATATGATGACCCTGTTACGTGAGAATGAGAACATACAAATCTGATGTCAACTTCTTGGAAAAATTCTAGGAAGATCTGAGGAGCTACCATCTTGTATAGTGGACAAAGAAACCGGTCAAGTTAATTTTATCATCTTTTACAGCTTTCAGTAGCTGATACCTTCATAAATATGATACTCTCTGGATGAATCAACTTGGCATCAGTTGAATCTGTGGATCTCCTTCCCAAAATATGCTTTTGATTGTAACTTGTTAATATGACTTCAAGGGAATGACCTACTCCTCTAGTCTATTGTGCTTGCAGCAAGGAAGGCACTACAGGCCTCCGAATGTCTTTTGAAACTTTGTGGTACAGTTCTTGGATACAGGGGATCTGATCAAGAAATTATTAGGAAATGTTTGTGAAGATGTGTTAAAATGCATGAGCTGTGTGGCTGGAATTGACCTGCATGGAGCAGTGTGTCATGTGTCAATTAGGACCAAGGAATGTCTGAATAAGGCTTTGGCTTCCACTGGTAATCAGATAAGGGAATGGATATTGGAAGTTCTGCTAGGCCTGTGCAGTGTATGGAAGCAAACAGAGAAAGTTTCTCTGAGTACCTCTGAGGCAGCAAAAGAGACCCTGACACCTCAGATTCCTGAGGGAGAATTAACATGAGTGGGACTTGCTGACCAACATGGTGAATAAACATATAACCCCTGAAAAATGTTGAGAGAGATATTTTCTTCAGTATTGGCTTATGCCTTCCTTGTGGCACAATATTTATTTTGAAGCAGGCTCTAATCTGTTTGAGTGGCTTTACTGTTAACTAAGTGTTGTATCCCTGTCATTGCAAGATGGTGCATTTGTTAGATGATGCTGCAGCACAAAGTCATAACTGTGTGTATAAAACCTGATTTTGGTCTGACAGCCTGTGAGGTGTTGCTATGTTAGCAACTCCAAGAAAGTGCAAGGCAAGAAAACCAAGGAGTTGGATTTCTTTGGCTGTGGGAAGCCACAACCTCTCTAGATGAGGTGGATGTGTTGGGCTAATAGGCTTCTTTCAGGAACACTGGAACAGAGGAGCTACTGTGTCAAGTAGCAGGATCTGACAGAGTTGTGTCTGTAGAATGCAATGTTTGGTGCTGAGGAATTGGTGTGTATACTGTTTGCATTTCAGAGATTTTTTTGTTGTTGTTGTTGAACTAATTCCAGGCTGGATGCATGG